TAGGCAGAGGACCCGGTCGAGTGAGGAAGAGTCACATAGAGGAGATGTAACAGCGGCGAAGGAGAACGCCGCTTCTGTGAAGAAACAGAGGCGGGGTGGAGGCGAATGGGAATGGCAAAAAGTAGTGGCGAGCGCAGTTTACCTGAGGGACGAGCCGAACTAGAGGTAACGCGGCAGAGACCTGTTAACGAGGTGGGAAATATGAGTGGTAGGTGGAAGGCGGATGGCGTGAGGCTGGAGGCTTACGTTTTCTGTTGGCGATGACTGCATTAGGTTATTTTCGTGCTCTCTACTCGATTGCCGTGCGAGCGGCCCACCCGCCCTCCCAATAACAGCCAAAGGGCTGATCGGAGTTGTCTTTGAAGGGTTTGGGTACCGCGGGAGTGTGGTCGCAGACGCAATGGCCTTCCCCACAGAAAGTTAGTAGTGAGTACGGATCACGCGATGACATTTAAGCAACGTCAAGGAGTCATACTGCATACCTGGTTTGAAGCCTGATCTATCTCAACAAGCTGGTATAACAAGTACGTATAATTAATTTGAACCTGCTGTGACGAGAGATCACGTGCTTTGGCATAGCAAGTGCTGGAGTGGCCCTTACCTTACTTTGCCGGTAAGGGCCGGCTGTAGCGTGCGCACGCGTGTTGGGCTTGGCGTTCCCTATCTTAACGTAATACAGGCCGCGTGCCGCAATTCGACGCCAGTTTGGCAGCTCCAAGGGCACAGAAGAAACCAACGGAAAATACGGCAAGTTAAAATACCTGGACGCCGAGCCTATGCCCCGGCCGTACGTAGAGGACGCTGATAGAACTTCCCTAGGCGGGGTCATGCCTAGGCGAGGCTCGACAGCTGGGCTGCACCAGTATCAGTTTGAAGGACACTTTCCGCAATATTAGTTGTAGACTGGCGTATGGAACATGTGAAATGGCAACGTGGGGCACGTTGTCACCCTTGCCTAGCGCACAGAACTTCACAGTTATACTAAGGGTGCATTTCCAGTGCGGATTAGGCCAGGGATTATGGCACGGAAGTCCTTGGTACGAGCTTACCACATAGTTTTGTTCCATAAGGGAACCAAAGGTTGAAAAGGCGAGGTAAGTTTGCCATCAACTTAGCCGTTTGAGCAGGTATCGATGTAGGACAGAGGGTTAATCCCTGGCCTTAATCCGCACTGGAAATACACCCTAACTTCTACGCAGCTGGCCACTAAAACCGCTGGGATTTGGGACCGTTGGGATTAACACCCGCGAAACGACACTTACAGAACCTTCCGCGCATAGCACGTGTCTTAGGTCTTAAGCAGAATGATTACGCCAGCATTAAATATGCAAATTGCGCGTTGCGCTGCCTCTCTGAGGACTAGGTTGTTCGTGATTAGCCGGCCGGGACAACGAACTCCGAAGGCTGTTGCCAGTACGTCAAAGGCTTACGTTTTACTAGTTCATTCGAGTATAGCAGCTGTCGTCTGTCCTCTTGGTAAAAAGAATCTATCGTGCCGCGGGCCAAACGCTTTAAAGTGGTAGTGCGCGGTCCCTGAAGTGGATAATAAGACGCATCAAAATGGCTTTAAGCTTAAATTTCACGGAAATTAAAACGATACCTCGGACGAGAGTTTATCTACGTACGTTCACGTGACGTAAGGTCCTAACATTTAGGAAACTCCGCACATCGTAGGAGGCGATATATGTGTCGAAGTCGTCCATGAATAGGTAAATAAAATATGTAGAATTATTTAGTGACACAAGCATTCGCTGCAAGCTAGCTTTCTGGTTTCTTTTTCGCACCCAAGCAGCGCCTAACCTGAGGTCAAAAACCTAAGGGTGATTAACATTTTTTTGATACAATACATTGATGTAATGCGTTGCCCCAGTGCATTCAACCCAATCGATGCGGAGTGGCGTACGGAACTATCTGAAGGGTCTAAAACTAGCTACGATGACGTTCATTACTAAAGAGACGCCGAGCGTCCAGGCAGGTTCGCCGTTACTCGTAAGATAGGACAGGCGTAAGAGACTGCTGTTCGGATTCTCACAACTGGGACGTGGAAGACTAACAGAGCTTTTCTTTGTTCCGTCCCCTGTCGAAGAACTCCGATCACCGTTCAGCAGCTATGGACCTCTACCGCTCTCATTCGTCTCCTCTCGCGGACAGCAGCGTCAACGGCAGCAGTAGCAGCAGCAAGGCACCAGGAAAGCTCCCGTCGTTGTGGCGAGCCCTGAAGTCAAAGCTGGACACGATCAGCACCACCAGGAAATACTCAAACGAATTGGGCTCGCCCACGAGCGGAGCTTCAAGTCCGGGATCACCACATGATCGTTCGCCTGCTGGCCGGCCCTTTCCGACCTCCCACCTCATGGCCACACTCAGCGCCTCGGTGAACGATGCAGGCCAAGCGCCTGAAACACCCCTTTGCAAGACACGATCCGGAGCACCCAGCCAGCAGCGCCTTTCAAGACTGCAAGCACCACGCTGCGCCGCTTCGATCGCCAGCCCAAGCTCCTCTGTACCATGCCCGTTGCCAAGCTTGCCTGCTACCCGGATGCCAAGCGCCCTGACGGATGCTATGGCGAGCAGCTTGGGCAATCGCATTGTCCCCGGCACCCCCGGCAACGGTTCAGCTTTTTGCGAGTCCTTCAGCGGACCATTGCCCGCCGTATCCAGCGTCCCTAGCCCCGGACTCCTCCGCTCACGTTTGGTCCTGGAGGACACTGTCGCAGAGCCAGCGCCACTGATGCCGTCGCAGCCAACGCCGGCCGAAGGGGGCACCAGCCGAGTAAGGCTGTTGGGCCTTTCACCGGCAATCCCCATCGAAATGCGGCGCTCCGCCTGGTCGCTGGACGATTTCGTCATCCATAAGCGCATATACAAGGGAGCGGCCTCATCGGTATACAAGGTGCGTGGTGGACAGGTTCGTAGGTAGGTAGGTGACATTCAGAGTGTGCTTCGACGACAGAAACACAAACCATGCTCTTGCGATGAGCAGGACGACGTTTAAATTTGTCAAGTATGGTCAAAATGGTCTACGTTGCGTTATGGTATGGCGCAATGCAAAGCCGCTGGTGATTTGGCTGGGTGTGCCCGGGTTTGCAAGCATCATGCTGCAATCGGCTATGGCGGCGCACCGGGATGCTGCTCCTTGGTATCATTAGATACATGGGGCTTCTGGCCTAGGCGTGTTTCAGGGGTAGCTCCATCCTCGATATTGTTCGGTGCACGGGTTGTTTGCGCGGCAAAGCTAGGAATGGGCCGACGGTTTGGTTTTTGCGTTGTAGATGTTGGAGTAGTTAAGCTCTGGCAACGGGTACAATACCGGATGATGGATGCTAACGGCGGACTGGAGACCAACGCAGGGTTCCACGGGTCGGCGCCCGTACATGTTACTGCCGACAGGCTATTTATCCGCCGGCATGTAGGACGACACACGCGCCTCACTTTATTCCTTTACGCGTTCTTGCTTATTTCCCAGCCTACCCGTATAATCCGATGTTTGCATGTTTTTAATGCATTTGTTGCTTGCTTGCAGGCAACCTGCCGCCAATCCGGAATTCCTGTAGCTCTCAAGGTAAGTTGAAAGGTGTGGGCAAGGGTTAGGGTGTGCTCACCCGCCAGCAAACCCCTCGGGGTTGGGCCGGGCTCCTGTCGGCCGGCGCTGAGCCGCTCACGTACGGCACCGTCCGTTCAGAATATTCACAATGATCGTTAATGATTGCTTCAGGCTTGCCATGCTGTGCTCTAGTGGGTGCGGGCTGCAAGGAACCTTCCAACGGTGCAGGTGTTGGTGCGCGCTACATAAGTGCGCCCAGCCCACCTCACAGACCCGCCGTCTTTAGCACCCAATCCACCCCAAGCCTCACGAGTACAAAAAGATATACCATGCTGCGTAGATCGCAATGCCGTATGGCCAATGCAAAATCCCTTACAGCTGCGTTAAGAATAATTCCTTCAGCGTAGTTTAAACACGCCAATCTCAGCACGCAGGCATCCTCTGCGCTTTACGCCTTCACAAATCAGAATGCACCACAGCGTCGCCCCCGCCGTGTCTGTGGCCTCCTTATTCCGTGACCGTCCCTCATGGGCCTTGCAGGTCTATTTTCTTACACGGATGCCATCCAACGTACGACACATGTGAGTACGACACATGTGGTGGTGTCCTCCGACGCACTCGCGATTTCCGGGGCAGCGTGGCAATGGTGAACTGCCAGGGCAGGTGACAGGCTAGCGTCCAGCACATAGCAAGGGAGGATAAAAAGGGAAGGCGTGCATGCTGCTCCGAAACCTGAGCCCGCCGACAGCAATCCGGTTCCTGGTCCGGAGCCGGGTAGTTCCCTAGTAGTTGCAATAGTAGAAGAAAACAGTAGAGTCGGTTGACGCGCCGCTGAGCCCGCTGGCCATTTTCCATCCACCGATTTGTAAATCGCAGGCTGAAGCGCGAGATCGAGATCCACTTACACCTCGTATACAAGCACGTGGCCCGCCTATACGCTGCGTTCTTGGTGCGTTGGGAAATCCCTCCTTTAAGGCAGCAGCGTTTTGACCAGAAGTTTCCTTGGGGACAAATTGCATTTCCCGAATTGGTTCGTTCCACTGCAAACTGGATTAGGAAAATGCTTATCTTAGTTGAGATCGCGATGCCGTGAAATGGGCGGGTTTCAACTCAATTTCAGCGGTGAACCGGTGATGCGCGCGTCTTGTTGCACTGCAGGACAAGAGTGACCGGGTGGTGCTCGTCCAGGAATATGCGGCGCAGGGCGACCTGTACGAAATTCTGCAGCAGATCGGCGGCCGCATGCCGCACGAACAGGTAGGTGCGTGGAGGTGAGGGGGAGGATGGAGGAGGTGCCAGGGCAGGCCGGGGTGCCGTAGGCTCGGATGCCGGGTAGGTCGGGCGGCATGGCGAATGATTGCACTACTGCAAGACATGGCAGAATCTACCAGCCATATAGACGATGCAGGACTGAGCATTCTTCTGGCAAATATTACAGTCCGGAATGGTACCTCGCACAGTGTATCCGCTCCGGTCCTATGGTATGCCCACGGGGGAGATGCTGCTGCTGGCGGCTGCTGGTGTCACATCAAAGATGAACAATCGTCGCTGAGCCTGGTAGTAACCCGTGCCAGGGTTGTCGGGGTTGGTATACTATGCACATCAACAAAGTTCCAAGCCACCAGAAGTTGTGCATCTCGCCACACAACACAGGTTGCTGACGGTGTGATGCGGCCCTTCCTGGAGGCCCTGTCCTACCTTCACTCCAGGGGAGTCTGCCACCGGGATATTAAGGTAGGAAGGCACACACCTCGTAATGCAGTTACACGTGCAAGCTGCCAGTATCTTGGCAAGCTGCTTGGACTTAGACTCACGCGGGCGGATGCCTGCAACTACGATAGCGAATAGCACACGCGACATCGTGCACGGCAAGTAATACGTAAACGTGGCTCTACTAAATTGATTGACAGCAGGACTCGCACATGCCCTGTTTTGCTTCTGGCACCACTCCAAGGCTTCATCCCCCTAACCTGCTACGCGTGGCTTTCACCCTGCACCCGCAGCCCGAAAACATTCTGCTTTCTCAGAACTGGCGGCTGCTGTTGGCGGATTTCGGCGTCAGCATCGACCTGAACCAGGAGCGAGCCGTCACCCGTGCCGGCACTGAGGGCTACATGGCGCCCGAGGTGGAGCGATGCCCCCTCAAGCATGCGCCGCATGAGAACAAGGACGACCCCAGATACGCCTACTCAACAGCAGTGGTGCGTGTGATGGGGAGGGGGAAGTGAGGAAAGTTCGCAGTGTGGCAAAAGGAAGGGTTGCTGGAAACGGCTAGGATGGTGCGATTCCGTCGGTCGAGGGGCAACCCAGCCATCAAAGTCGTAGTTGACAGCTCAAATAACCCTCTTAGCTAGGCTGGGTGCTGGAGATGTCGCAGCTGTGTCCCTTGCAGCATCACAGCGCGGCGCCCGGACTCCGAAGATTCGACGAAGGAACTCTGGAAACCCACACGGCGCATCCTGTCCGGGCTAGCACAGTGCAATGCTGATGTCTGAGGACAAGGCTGAATCCTGGCAAGCATGTCTGTCTCTTTGTGACTTCAGTTCTTAGTAGCTGATGATGCACACACCACCACACTGCCCCCGCCCCGCACAGGATATTTGGGCCGGCGGCGTTCTGGCGTACGAGCTTATGGTGGGCTTTCCGCCGGTAGTGAAGTCCTCCCCAAGCACCGCGGCCGCTTCCTCAGCTGACAAACGCAGCGTTCCGGACGGCGATTCCGTCAGTGGCTTCGTCCGCAGCCAGATGACCCCTGCCTCGCTGCACTTCCCCGCCTCAGTGCCGCCCGCCGCACGTGACTTCGTGATTGCGGCGCTGGCGCCAGATCCCCTGGAGCGACCCACCGCGGCGCAGCTCCTGAGACACCCATGGCTGCAGCCCAAGGCGGATGATGTGGAGGCAGACTAGGGAAGGCTTCCACCGTCATGCAAAGCACATAAAATGTATGTTGTGTTCCCTGTACGCTGTAAAAGGGCGTTTGCTGCATCAGGAAAGCTGGTCGGGCCCGGTCGGGAATATATTCGATTTGCCGTTCACATCTTTGTTTATTTCACGCGTATGGTCTTCCATTCGCATATTCACCGACATACTGCGTTTTTTTATGGGAGTAGGTAAAAGAGAGGACAGGCAGGCGGTTTGGATTGAGCTTTGGCTTGCAGATCGGCGTGGCAGGTAAGCAGGTAGAGGTACAGGTAGGTGAGCATGCAAACAGACAGTAGGTAGAATGAAAAAGAGGGAGATGGAAGGAGAGATGGAGCCAGAGGAAGAAGTAGGGGGACTTAGGAAGAAAGGGAGAGAGAGAAGGCAAAGGACAGCAATGGAAAGTACGGCTGGCGAGGGCGCATGGCTGCGCGGCTGAGGTATTTGTTTCACACAGCACCCTCAATAACTGTCTGTACGTGTATTCGGGCTGCTTTGACAGGCGCTTAATATTTTTGTCGCGAAAGTTTTGACGGGTACATTGCTGCTATTCTTCAATGCACCCACATCGAGAGACGAAGTATTGGCCCGCCCTGCATAAAAGAGGACAGTCAATTTTGTCAGTAATCTGAATTTGAATTTGAATTTGAATCTGAATTTGAGTTGCCACAGAGTGGGAGGCTTCTGGGCCACTTGAGCATATTGTAAATTCTACGATTTGTCAGACCATACAGCACCATCCACCATTACCACACTGTACTACGCCATAAGAACTGGAAGTCCAAGGCGGTTGATCCTGCCTTCTAAGATCCCTCCTCATCCATTCACCCGAACATCCGTAGAGACAGTTTATCAATCGCCACCAATCCAGCGTGCGACTCTCGATCCATCAACTGTGATCTCAACTCCACATCTCAGCAGCTAGCCAAAATCTTACGCTCCCGACAATGTCGGGGTTCCCCCCAGGAATCGGACCAAAGCCCTTAAACGGTATAAGACAGTAACGTCAACCAGTCAGTACTTTAACCGGGGCTGGATGAAGAGTGCACGTAGCTGCATAGGTGGGGTTTAGGGCTTGACATGCTTCTATTGACTATTTGCTGCTGTGTCTGTAGAGCACCACATTTGTTTGTGGCGTAAGATGGATCGGACGTGACATCAGTGGGAGTAGCTGCTGCGTACCAGGGCTGGTGATGGTCTGTATGTACGACATTCAGGACTTGGACGTCTCCTGGTGGCGGTGTGGTCAAAACTGAACCCGAAGCGTCTTAGGACATCATCCATCGGTTGCACGGGCGGGAATACCGTTTGCGTCGGACCGCATATGCGGATGTGGGTTTTCTTGGAAGGCAGGTTATGCAACTAAAAACAATCCGCAGTCGCAAGCCCGCCCACCCGGCAGGGTATCCACTCAACAGAAGAGATGACGCGACATGATGGCACGTTCCGGAAGTACTCGCCCAGTTCGCCCTTATGAGCGAGGCAAGGCAAGCCAAAGCACTACGGCAGGCACACACAGCTTAAAACGACGAGGACAGCGAAAAACAAGCGAGGTAGACGTCTAACTGAAGAAAATTCAGGGGTCCATGGACAGGCGAACAGGCGAGGCGTCCGTAGATGTGTTACTTGCT